ATGGTTCTAACAACTTAACCATGGTCAGCTGGGACCCACTAACTATCTTAACTAACTGGAGACTAGCTTAACCACTTAACCACCTATTAACCGCTTATTCATCACAATACTATTGTTTTTACCCTTTATCATATTTTTTTAGTATGATATGAAATGTCTCTTAGAAAAAGTTTTTTAGTTAAAATGATTTGAGATTTTAGACGTCTCGAACTATTGAAAGAAAATATTTGACTTAAACAAAAATGTTTGTGGCAGTACGGTTAAGTGGCTCAGCGAAAGAAGAAACAAGAAGATTGGTGTAGCAGTCAATGAAATGAGAAAATATCATGAGAGCTTTGAGTTCATATTTCAACAATAACAACAACAATAAATTTATTGTAATCCCACAAATATAGTCTGGGGAGAGCAGTGTGTACATAGTCTTACCCCTACCTTATGAAGAAGAGGATAGAGTTCAAATTTCAATGTAGATAAAAAAATGACGGTGATTTTTTCCCCTTTTTAATAACTTTTTATCCTTAAAGTTATTCGATATTTATATTAATAAAAGTAATAAATAGTCGAAATATAGTCGAAATGCATGCAAGAAGAGTTGAATACTATCCGAGCAAAAGAGAAAGACGAAACAACAAGATTCGTATGCCCATTGAACGGGGTGGCCATGCAGGGTTCTTCTTGACAGTATGTGCAGATTATTCGTAAACTTGGTTGGTGCTTTGTATCTCTTTGAGCGCGTCCTCCTATATATTCCCCCATCTCGTATTCTCTATTCCCTGAAGGCTTAAATTGGCCTAATTAGATAGGTTCTTGCTTCAATTTACCGTAGAAACGACATCAGGTAGCCACTTTGAAGGGCTGCTATATAAGAATTAGTTAGTGCGTCCTGAATTTTAGTTTTTCAGTTTAATTTTTCAGGACAAAAATATCTTAAATTGTCCTGAAGTTAAAAATTTTAGGTTAAAATTTCAGGACAAAATAAGTGTTGGCTAATCTCTAAATAGCATCCCTCAGAATAGCTATTTGTGCACTTGCCCCTAATTTACCTCTCTTCCTCATGTTTCTTTTGGGTTCATTTCCAAACTTCTATCTAGTCCAAATAGAGTGGAAATGACATCATATAGCCACTTTTAAGCATGTTGTTTAAAATATATTCACAGTTTATAATGTATTTAAAGATTAACTAATTTTGCTCAAACTTCAGGACACGTCGTCCTAAAGTTTAAACCTCAAAATTCAAACTTCAGGACATCGTGTCCTAAAGTTCGAAAATTTTGTCCAGAAGTTCGAATCTTATGGCTTGAATTTTAAATTGGTAGTTTAGAAACAAAGGACACTTAGTCCTGAATTTTAAATTAGCAGTTCAAAAATCCAGGACACTAAGTCCTGAATTCCAAATTCAGGATACTTAGTCCTGAAATTTGGATGAATTGGTTAATCTTTAAATACATTGTAAATTATGGATGTATTTTAATTGCGGGCTTAAAAGTGGGGGAAGTGCACAATTAGCCAATAATAAGGGATGTATTTACTTTTAAGCCATTGTTTAAAATGTCTTTAGTCTTTAGCCACTGCTTTAATAAACTTTTACCCGCCCGAACGAAAATACCCTTCTGCTCATAAAGTTCAGGACCAAGTGACCTTATCTTATGAACTTGTTACTAATTTATGATCTTGTAAGTCTAAGTTTAGGACTACCTATCCTTAACTTTTGAATTTGTAACTCTAAGTTCAGGACTATATGTCCTTAACTTTTGAACTCGGAACTCGAAGTTCAGGACTACTTGTCCTTAATTTCTGTGCTTGTAACTCTAAGTTAAGGACTACATGTCCTTAATTTCTGTGCTTATAATTCTAAGTTAAGGACCAAGTGTCCTTAATTTTTGAACTTTCAACTCAAAGTTCAGGACCAAGTGTCCTTAAATTATGAGCTTGTTACTATAAGTTCAGGACTAACTATCCTTAATTTATGAGCATGTAAGTCTAAGTTAAAGACTACTTGTCCTTAATTTTCGAGCTTGTAACTCTAAGTTTAGTACTACCTGACCTTAACTTTTGAACTTGTAACTCTAAGTTCAGGACTAGACTGTGACTTGAGTGTAAAACAGCTTCCTTTGATGTCTAATTCAGAAGAATATAAAGCAAATTATATACACTAACAAATCAATATTTGGTCAAATATCCACCAGGAGAAAATATGTCGTTCTTAATATGCCTTCTTAATGTTTTGTTAAATATTATGGTAGCATATCGTGTTGATTTGTCAATTCGTAACATCTCCTTTTCCAATCCAAGCTTGGGGAATCTATAAGTGCTTGATTGCAGAGTATTTATGTCGACTTGTTGAACCTCCTGCCGAGCTGGAGAAGAGATAAAAAAAAGAGGGTAGCAATGTCTTTTCATATTAATTTTAATACACTAGTGGCTACTTTTGCTCAACACTAAAAATGAAAAAAATTTCGTTCTTATACCATATAGGAAACTATATTACCAAATATGTTCATAGTTTGCATATTACCCGCTAGGCTAATAGTATTTCTACAAAATATAGACAATTCATTAAATAAGGAATCCTTGTAGCTGTAGGCTTTCTTATTTAGGCGCGCTAATATTGAAGAATTAAATATTCTTCTAGATATTTCACAACGCAAATCACGCATTAATATTTCCTTTCTCTGTATATTTTCATACGTTGTTTGATTGGAACTTGTTTTTATAGAGAAAGGAATTTTCATACGTTGTTTGTTTGGATTGGGAATTCTCTCTACGTCTCTCTCTATTTCTCAATCCCAAATTTCAGTAATATAAAGCAAAGGAAAAGAGAGCAGCAATTCCACAATTAATAGCCATTAAAAAGTTTTAAAACTTTGAATTCGAATTTGGGTTTTCAAATATCATTATTTGTTTGGATAGGGTGTTTTTAAAAATAATTGAAAATATGGTTTGGAGTTTATATCTTAATTTTGAGGGGGTTTGGTGAAAATTAGGCTTGGTTTTGGCTGAATTTCAGATTGAAACTCGAAGAAGAAGAAGACATGACATACATTATATTGCAAAAATTGTAAAAAAAATTGTAGATTGCTGTTTATTTATTTTTCTTTTATTCATTTAACTATTGTATGAAAGTTGAACAATATTGTATAAAAAAATTGCATTTAAGTAGTATTATATTGTATTTAAGTGGTTTAGCGACAGTCGTAACATCTCTTTCCATTTCTTACTTCTTCTCTAGCATAATACATATTTTCTTCATATACTAGCCCAATTTTTTCAGTTGCATACCTAAATTTTGTGGATATTCTATGACACCAATAATTATTTTGAACTGAAATTAATACCACACCAAGAGACCAACATCAATGGTAAGGAACACATTGTATGTCACTCGTTCAACTGTATTTCCAAATTCCAATCAGTTTTTTCTTTCTTTATTAAAAATTTTTAAATCTCAAAGTGTAACCTTATTATCAATTTATCACCATTTTCCTCTCATCATCTCTTCCAATCAAAGCCCACCACTAGAGCACCAACAAATTATTTATGACATTCGAGACAAAAAGAGACGTTTTGAGTTAAGTAAGTGTTGAAATTTGTTGTTGCACAGACAAATTCTATCAAATTCTGGTTGTATNTATATATATATATGTGTGTGTGTGTGTGTGTGTGTGTGTATGGATTTTCACAATATCTACAAAAATTTTACATTTATTTTACAATAAAACTACATACCATTTGAAAAATTAATATAAAATACAGAATTTCAATGTTTCTACAAATTATCTACAAATTGTTCATAACAGAATTTATCTTTATTTTCATGCAGGTTCGTCTGGAACACTAAAGTTACTTGATATGCCAACATCTCCCATTATAGAGGAATATGAAAGTATAATAAAACAGATAGTACACCAAGTTTTATTGAAGTTGGACAAGTATACCAAGACAAACAAATTTCATACAACTCATTATACATAGTAAAAACAAATTTCATACAACTAATTATATATTATACAACTTATCTACAACTTATCTACAATTTTTTACAACTTTCACACATTATTTCCACCCAGTTAAATACAACTACAATAACATACAACTTAAATACAAATTTTATACAATATGTCCTTTGTATATTTTGTATCTGATTTATACATAGTAAAAATAAATTTCTTACAACTAATTATATATTATACAACTTATCTACAAATTATCTATAATTTTTCTACAATTTCTGCAATATAATATGTCATGTCTTCTTCTTCTTCTTCTTCTTTTTCTTCTTCTTCGAGTTTCAATCTGAAATTCAGCCAAAACCAAGTCTAATCTTCACCAAAACCCCTCAAAATTGAGATATAAACTCCAAACCATATTCCCAATTATTTTCAATAATACCCAATCCAAACAAATAATGATTTTTGAAAATTCAAATTCGAATTCAAAGTTTCAAAGCTTTTTAATGGCTGTCAATGGTAGAATTGCTGCTCTCTTTTTCTTTGCTTTATATTACTGAAATTTGAGATTGAGAGATAGAGAGAGAGGTAGAGAGAATTCTCAATTATTTGCAACAACATCCAATCCAAACAAATAAATGTCTTTTGAAAACCCAAATTCGAATTCAAAGCTTCAAAACTTTTAATGGTTGTCAATGGTGGAGGGGTTACAGATTTTCGCTGGTTTTAGAAAATGAAATCGTGGGTAATTGAAGAGGAAATCGTGGGGTGTGGTTTGATATGTGAGTGAGGTGGTGGGATTTAGAGAGAGAAACTTGGAGGAGTGAGAATATACGGTTGAGTAAAATTAGGAGACTAATTAATACCATTAAAATCCTAAAATAATATATAAATGGTAAATAGATATATAGAAGATAATTATATTAAAAGTTAAGCATGGAGGGTAATATAGTTTACTAGATGGATGTAAAAATTCCTGGCGTATTCGCCCCCAAATAAACTTTTGCTGGCCCCAAACACAGAGTAGGCCCAATTGAAACCCAAAAGAAATAGCTGGAACCTTCTTATGCGAGCATAGCATTAGCACCTGCCAGAAACTAACATGTCCATTTCAACTGTTTCCCGCTCATTCATAGCGCAATTTCACATGATTACGATTTGGTTCTGCAATGGCGAATTTTCTCCGGCGTCCGTTCACTAGGTTTCAGCCTCTCCGATCTTCACCGGTTTGTTCGACGATGTTTTGGTCATCATCATCGTCGTCTTCCTCCGCCGATGCGTTGGTGGAAATCAAACCCGGGGAAGTAGGGATGGTCTCTGGAATTCCCCAGGAACACCTTCGTCGCAGAGTATGTACTTCATCAACCTTATGGCTTATGACACTGTTAAATCCTTACCGTTGCTTTTTATTTGGGCAGAATATTTGTTTACGGTTCTTAATTACTAAATTTACTCTCCAAATTTGCTGTTGATCGAACTTCAAGTTCAATATTTGGAAATATTAAGGTCGTCTGTGATGCTGAATGTAGAGTAAACCAACAGACCGAATATTTTATGTTTCATTGTGAAGTAAAATTGTGACTTGCTTTCATGAGCAGATTCTGAGCTAATTCCTAGTATTTAAAATTGACTGATAATCCTTACTCTTTTTGTACGAATTTTTCAATTACTTCTAAAATATTTTGAGGTAATAGATTATTGTGAGTCATATATTGTGTATGTGGTTTCTAAATATGTTAATTTCAATAAAATGTTAAAACTGATTGCCCCAGTATAATTCTTGTACTTCAAATTACTTTTGTGATAGAGGAAGTATTATAATTTGCGCAGTTTACGAATTTTGGAATTTCATTATTAATGAATAAATTTAAGGCGCATTTTGTTTTACTGTCTCAAAATATGGCGAGCAGTAAAGATTCAACAAGAGCTGTACATTATGTTTGCCTCAATGTATAATTTTCTTGGTTCACTATTAATTTGCAGTAGCTAACGAGAAAGAGAGAAGCAAATCAAAATTTAAGAGATTTACTATGTTAATTAATCACATTTACTAGAAGCGTAGTGGATGAAGAGTTTAACAAGTCGCTTAGTAACAATTTTTGTTCCTTCTAACTTGTAATATTTCCATCTTAATTAGTTTCACTCATATTGTATGTCTACTTTGATTGATTGACACACTGCATTTCCACTCGTCTGCAAGCCTGTAAGCAAACATTGTTGACTGGAAATAAAATAGGTAGAGAAAATTCAGAATTTTTCATTTATTTCTATCAGCTCAGTTCCATTTGGAATTTTGGTTGTTCTTGTCAAAGCAATGATTTCATTACAAACAACCAAAATACTTCAGATTGCCTTGGAGTTTTTATTAGAAAAGTATAATAGAAATGCAAATTGTTTCCTTCTTTAGTGTAGATCAGGAAGCTTTACAAGAACATATTAGAGAACAAAACGTTTCCTAGAAGTAAGCAAATGAAGCGCTTAGTATGGTTGCTTTCTGTAGCTTGCAACTTTTTCCTATTTGTTCTTTATTTCTTCCTTTTTCTACAAAAAGGGAGTGAGATGCTGGGATGCCGAATGTCTTTCTAGCTTTGGTATTTTTGAGTGTAAATCAAACGTGGATACGATGCAATTCATTATTGTTTTACGGAAATTACTGTTCTTATTCTTCCAGATGACCGTAAGGATTTCTGTTATATTAGTTTTTTATACCTCCTTTTTCATCCAAAGAAGTATATAGGTCATACCTAGAGTTCTTCAACAGAGATGGTTAATTCTTTTCCTGGACAGTTTAATGGATCTGAGGATAGACTTTCACTGGGAAATTTTGAACATTGCATCTTCAGGTCATTATTTATTCACCTGCTAGAACTGCAAGCCAACAAGGCTCTGGAAAGGTTGGAAAGTGGAGAATAAATTTCTTGTCCACACAGAAGTACACACCGTTCCTTACCTTTTTTCATGATAAAACAGTTACTATATTTTATTCTCTGGAGACATTTCACTTTGGATATTCAAGTATTATCCGATGCAACAAATCCTTGCAAATGTGTACCTGTCTATGAGCGAACGTTTCTCTAAGTTAGTTTCTTTCTCCAACATGCCCTGTCTCTCAAATCTCTGAGCAGCATTTCTAGAAACTGCTTCTTTTTGGCTGATAGACCTTTTATTTCTGATATCAAATTTTAATTGATTCTACAGTAGTCAAGCATCTGTTTGATTGCATCTTTTAGGTGGGAAAATCCATTGATGGGATGGACATCCACAGGAGACCCTCTATCAAATGTTGGTGAGGCAGGGTTATCTTTTGATAGCGTAGAAGCAGCAAAGGCATTTGCTGAGAAACATGGTTGGGAGTACACTGTAAGTGCTTCGAGCACTATCCATTGTTTTTGTTTTCCTTAATAAATATATATTGTTTTGGTTGCTCCTTTGGCACTTTTAGAAAATCTGTTGCTATTTCCATGTAATGGACATGTGGGATTACAAGAGGTTTTCGATCTTGCATGCATGTGATATAGGAGAGTACTATATTATGGACAGTATTTCCTTTGAGAGTTATTTCAAGAGAGAAACAAAGTAGCAGGCAAGAAAGATATTGAGATATTAGTTAAATTAATGAAAGAGAAAACAACGGTAAAAGAAAAAGTTGATCAGATTTGTAAGAAAAGAAAAAGAGAAGGAGAAAGAGAGCTGGCCACTTGCATAGAGGTTAGCTTCACTAGAACTTGAACATCAAATCAGTTTCGTACCAATTGTCACTACACGATACACTAGCTTGACTATGTTCCAAGGCCAACTTTGTTGATCTTGTTTGCAGTCTAACATACAGAGCTTTGTTTAAGATTCACCTTATAGGCATAGATTGCGATAGAATCCTTCAATCATCAAGCTTCTAAAATGAATGGAGTAGCACTTTTGGATTATCGAGAGTGAGTTACTAGATTTTAAGCTTCTTTTGAAGTTGGGAATAGGTGTATGTAGACGACGTCATCATCAAATCCAAGAGAGCCACTGACCACATGGAAGATCTGAGAAAGTTCTTCAACAGACTAAGAAGGTACAACTTGAAGCTGAATCCCGCCAAGTGTGCATTTGGGGTTCCTGCCGGAAAACTACTTGGGTTCATTGTGAGTCGCCGAGGAATAGAATTGGATCCGTCAAAGGTAATAAACTCACCTGAAAATTAAGAACTAAGAACCAAAGAACATTTCACTGTAAAGATATAGCACTGTTGCTAAAGGGAACACAAAACTGACGAGATTATGAGTTCAAATTCTATCTACTTGCCAAGTTAGGCACTTCCTATAAGACTGAACTAGTTAGGATCAGGACATTGGATTGGGATTCAAGCAACTAACCTCAAAGACCTTACCAAGTGCATTTTCTTTAAATAATATCGTGATAATGACCTTCAGAGATCTTTGAGGTTAGAATGTGGACTGCTCCTTATTCTGTTCGATTGCTTTTTAATGTTACAGCAATACTGCCAGCAATTTAACCTTCTGTAGTGATCTTTTGAGTATTTCAAGATGGATTAGCTTATATACACTGTTAAGTGTTAAATAAATTTACATTGTAATTACATTTTAACATGTTATCTCAATAATGTACTTTAATCTTCTAAATACCAAATTAGACTTATTATAGGGAGCTACCAGTTGTTGTTTCTTTTTGATTGTATAAAAGAGTTCAGGGAAGTATGGTTTCTTACTTTCTCTTGATTTGTAGGTCAAGAAGTTTCATACACCGTTGTTGAAGGTATGAATTTTCTCTACTCCATGTTGTTCCATGTTTTTTAGGACGCCTGCCCAATCAGACTTTCCATTCCGTTAATTTTTGGATGAAACACTTATGTTTCCTCTCCTTCAAAATCATGAGCTTAGCTGTTATAAAGATACATATTTGTTGTAGAAACCCTGGTCTAAGTTTTGGAAACTCGAACCTTTTTATTCATTTTAAGAAAGCAACTGAGATTTGAGCCACAAGGAATACAAGAGTGGAAGCAGAATGCTCATAAGGTCATTCACTCATTCCTATCATGTTTCCTTACTTCATGATTTCCTGCAAACTTGCTTTGAAAGAGTAGAGACAACTTTTTATCCATTTATACTTTCAAGAGTATTCAGGGATGCGACATCTTAAGTACCGCACTTGAATTTATGGGCTTTAACCCTTCAGAAAACATTTTAAATTTTCTCATGCTGAAAATTCCATATAACTGGAAGCAGCTAGTTGGAACTTCTCTAGTTTATTTATTATCCTTTATAATTTGTTCTCTTTTGTTAATTTTTTATCCGTTCGTGGGACGTACACCAGTTCAAAGACCACGTATTTGAATTGGTTCTTGAAATGGAGTCTTATGGTGGCTTAGTTAACCATTTATCGGGCACAGTGAGTCTTATATTTATGAACTTTATATCCTGCTACAGCCAAAATCATATGCAGACAACTTCAAATGGAAGGGCCCCCCACCAGAGTCCAAGGGAGGCTAATGGATATTTTGTACGTTCAATTTCCACGCTGCTGCGCTGCCTTCAAGAGTTGCCACTTCTGACAGGTGGAAATCCTTTTATCATTGGAATTGTAACACGTATTCAGCCAATAATTTTCGTTTGCTATCGAATTATCATGGTCCAATAGACAAAAGTGCATTACGTTAGCTAGGTTTTTAAAACTTGTACTCAGTTCACCACTAGGACGTAGTCTGTCCCTTTCGCTTCTTGTGTGTTGAACTAAGCTAGTAAAATATGTACAGAGAACCGAAAGAAGAAAACTAGTGACTTATAAACTTGACATTGGCACATAGCTTTGTACTTGTAGATCATTGCAGATCTACCATTTTGCATGTCGTACTTGAAGCTGGAAACAACCATCAAACATAATTAACTAACACTCATTTCCTACTCTTTATACACTGATACTATATTGCTTAAGGTTTACTCTACAACATTAAACGAGTTAACTATATTTACACTTGAAAAACTGTTTAAATACTGGAAGCAGATTCAGGAGCATCATCATCTGTAGTATGGAACCTCCACTCAAAGACATAATCCTTAGACTGGCAAGCTAACCTCACAGCATTGCAAAAAGCTTTAACAGAATTCTTTTTCCCTTTGTCAGCTCCCCATTCTATCTTTACCCAACAAGTAAATCCATCCGATGACATTGGCACACTTTTTGAATCCAAGAACTCAAGCATCACTTCCCCACCAATTCTCTTGCATGCATTGCCACTCATGTAATCCAGCCAACAACATTCAGGTTGACCCACCATTTCTTTATATGCTGAATTTGTTAACCTTACTTTGTTATTCGAGTCTGATATAACAGCTGGCAAGGCCTCTGCTTCAACTTCTTCCTCCACTTCCTCTGGTTTTTTCACACATTTCTTGTTAGTTCCACCATCTGGAGCCTCCTCATTAATACACCCAATTGAAATACTTGACCCAACTGGCCGCACTGGCCGCGGAGTGATAACACCAGGGCTCTTAGGACTAGTAGATCCTTGCATTAATTGTGGCATGAAATCTAATTCTTCAGGTACATCAGCTGCTAAGTTCAAATCTATCCCTCTTTCCTCTCCTGAGTTTTTCTCCACTAGCAGAGGAAGAGTTGTTGTAGTACAAGAAAGAAGAGGGAGTGCTATTGAATTTGCTGGAGTTGTGACAGGGGTACCCAAGCCACATTTAAGAGGGACAAGATTTGGGATTATAGAGAACTGGGGAATCACATTTGGTCTATGGGCAGGTGAAGCAGCCATTACCTGATAATGAGGAAATTGGCCTGCAGGAAGGTAATTAGTCCTGGCTCTCTTCATAGTAGGGGGACCAAGGGCAGTTCTTCCTCTTTTCCTAGTTCTTGTAGGCCTTGCTTGCAAGTGAGGCCATACATTCCTCAAGAAAGGAGATTTGTTAATATTTGCTGGCAAGCCACTAGGATTATTTTCAGAAACAGGACTTGTTGGCACCTCTGGTTTTGGTGCTATAGGCCTGTATCTAGCCATGATCTCAGCTGTTTTTGAGGTTGAAGGGTAAGGATTCAAAGTCTGCATCATTTTGATAAAGGAGAAATTGAAAACTCCTCTTAACAAACAATTCCAAAATGCAGAAACAGAGAAGAGAGAAGGTAAGGGGAAGTTAGTGGGAGTGAGGTTTGAGGTATAAGAGGGTGATATAAGCCAATGAGAAGAGGGCAAAACATGAAGGAAGATAAAAGAAAGAAGTGACACTTGGAAACGTACGGTGGGTACGTGTTTGAGGAACTTAAAGAAAAGGGACATGTGGGATTACAAGAGGGTTTTGAACTTGCATGCATGTTTTACACTTATCATACCCTAAGCCTTTCACCTATTCTTCTCCTTCGGTTTCAGAAGAGAAATGACACCTTTTTGAAAGTTTCATTGATTACCATTTACCCCATTAGATTCATGTATCTGTTCACTTTTGTTCATTTTTTTAAGGATGGATTCATGCAGTAATAAAAAGGTATAACGGATGAGAGAAATAGGATAAGGAGGCAGCAGAAGGTGCAGTGAGCAGCTACCAATCAGGCGGTGGGCACCCATCTCATTGCACCGAAGGGGCAAAAAGGCCTTTCGGAGGATAACACGTGTGGACGTGGATCTCATGCATGCCTACACCTATCAGGAATTTGTTGGTTTTGGTTTAGTCTTTGCCTTTTGAAAAAAAGATTCCATTAGTAGTACGTTAACTAATTTTCACAAGTTTTAGTACATTAATTATTCACTTTTAAAGGTTACTAGTCTCTACGTTCGTGCGATGCACGAATATCTTTAGTGACGGATCAAGGTTAAGGAATGAGGACTCTATTGAATCTGCTTCTTTTAAAAAATTATACTATACATATAGGGCATAAATGATTTTTTGGATAGTAGAACCTCAAAGATAGGAGAAGAGAGTTGTAGATTAATTTGTAGTACTCCGTTTAGGTTTTTATGTATGAACTTTCTATGTGTTTATTTTGGATTAGAGTTTAAATCCTTTTAAACAAGTAGGTACATACCTTTAGATCTTCTATTGTTATCTAAATTTGTGTTCTACTCAAATTTTAATTTCGTTGAATCTACAAATATTATACCTGAACAAGTGCACCTTTAATCATATGATATCAATCCTTGTATAAATATTCAAATTAATTAAGTGATAAGTTTGGTCACAAAAATCGAGTTAGTTTTAATGTACTAAATGTTAATGTCTGAAATCTAGTTTACTAAAAATTTCATTAGAATTCAAGTGCAGTTAAACTCTTAAAATATTCATCATAATATTATTTTAGGGTTTTGAATTTAAGAATGATGGCTTAACATTCTTTTTGAAAGTTAGTGAATTTGGAACCCTTCTAAAATCACTTGCAAATTAACATTACAAAATTTAAAGAAGAATAAAACAAAGAGGTTGAGAGAGAAGATTTTACTCGTTGCTGTTTGTTTCATATTATTGGTATTTATACAATAGCTTTAGCGGCATCCCTTCACATAAACAGGATATAAATCTAATAGACATTCTAGGATATGGTTTACATAATTATATACGGACTTTGTTGATCAATAAATTAAAAGCTATTGCTATATATAATAACATAATAGGTTTTCTGGTGTAACACAAAGTGGGAAGCTTAGTCGATTCAAAGTTTGACCCAAAATCTAAAATCATGCACGTCCAGGATTCAAGCTAATTACTCACATCATGGGCTTTTGGTGATGAACTTTATGACATTTTAAAATTTATCATAACTTAACTTTTACAATTTAAGTAGTATGAGTTATGACTCCATCTTGGAATTGGAAAACTCTTTGTCTGACTTTAACTTTAATTTGCTTTGAACTGACTGATTTTTTAAATTCGGAGTAACAATAGGAGTTGTTGACTAACATAAATATGAAAAGATCAACCATGTAGGTTTAATTTTAGGATTCTAATTTAATCTTAGTTGAATATAAATTCCTAGGTATAAGGAAAAATCTCAAATATTTATCATATCCGGTATGAAATTATTTTTTGAAAGAAATAAAATAGCTTCCAAAGGGTAAAAATACTTTTTTCGACACACCTCGTTTAGAAAATAGTGAAAAAAGAAAATTAATTAATATAAAAATTAGAATGTGAGAAATTAGATGTCTTTGAGAGGGATGAAGGCTTCAAAGTCCAATCATCAAATTTAGGAGTGGATACTAAATTATACTCCATTTAGTTTTTTTTTCGTTTTTCAAATTCAAAATATTTCACACTGAAACCTATTTGAAATAGTGTTTTGACTTACCAGTGATTTACTTGTTACTTACGGAATTTTAGAGTATGCATTTATTTAAAACTTTACCTTTATTTTAGTGTGTGTTTTTACCAATATAACCAATTGATTTATGGTAAGTTAACTTAATATATTAAGGCTAATCTGGTAAACCAACATTATATTCATGCTTTTATAATAATATAGATTATTATTCTCTGTCAGTAAACTTTAGTATTTATATGACAGTTTGATAAGTGTAGTAATAACTTAAGTATTTTATATAAAATATGTACATGTGTATATAATACCAAATATAGTTTTAATCTTTAAACATATCATGTCATTTTATAGGAAAGTGTCATTAAAGAGAATTTGGAAGAATTTTTAAACAAGGAAAGTGTGTATCCTTTTGAAATAGATTAAAGAGTGAGATGTCAATGAAACCGAGGAAGCAAGAGTTTGGAATTGTGGTTTTCAAGTGGATCAGATGTTGAAGGGAGAAAAAGGAAACAATCAAGATAGTGAAAAAAAATTGTATGCTTCATTACTGTTAATAATTTACAAAATAGCCCCTGGTTCTGATTTTTTCCGCTACGTTTCTTCCGAATGATATTGCTGTCGATGAAGAAATATTTGATGCGATTGGAGGACTGGGTTGGAGATTACGCGAGGATGTTACACGTGCCACCTGACTGAGAAAGCTCATTTATAACAATACTAGTTAGTTGTTCAAAGAACTCTTTTTATAAGTTTGGTCGATATGAAAAAGATCAAGATATATATTACCAAAACTTTAAAAAATATTATAGAAGTAAAACATACATATGAAAAGATTACAAAAACAAATATATAAGAAGAAAATACATACAAAAGTATAACAGGATAAAATTAGCACATACTTTTTTTTTTATTGATTTGTATATATGAAAAAATCATTTTTCTTTTTTCTTCCTATTAGTAGAGATTCACGCCCAATAAACTCTATCTTTCCAATGTTGTATCTCTATTTCTATATAATCATCCTGTTTTAGGGAACATACATGAATTAATTACACGAACAAAAAAAGAAAAAAATTAAATCTGATATTGACATATTTTCTCATTGTACCACTAATATGTTTCAAATTACACTACTCTTCAACAACAAATTTGAATAATCTCAAATTGCTGAGGTGTGCTCTCCTGCTTTTTCTGACTTTAGTACTCCAGTTTGACAGTTTTTATTAGATTCCACAAAATAAGTTGTTTGTGTTATTGCTCCAACAAAAAGCAAATTAAAGGAAGCTCAATATACACTTCAAGATCTATACTACATAAAAACACACTAAAGAATATTGAGAACCATAGACATTAGTAAACACTAATTATCTTGTTTAATTATGGAATAAAAATAAACTTCTAGGTATATGAACAGAACCAAGAGAATATTACAAATTACTAACACTTAATAAAATTTTACAAATCATAACTCCATTCCTACATTATATGGTCCAACCTACAAGTCATAGCAATAATTTTGTTTGCTGAAAGCACAAAACTAAATACACCATAAAATGTTTGCTTAATAATTTTGTATATAATCAAGCGACTATCCATAAAATGTTTCCATCTTTATCTCAAATTTTGCATTCTTCAAAAGGAAAATATCCATATCCTTCAGTCAAGATTATTCCTTTTCAATGTTACACCAAACATACACTAAATTATCAAATGGACCAGAAATGTACAAAATCATTGGGTCATCAACAAATTGTGAAAACTGAATCAGACAATAGATATTAAGCTAACACTTGATTAAGGCTCCTTAACATTAAATTTTAATCAAAAATGACTTGCCAATTCGTCTTTAGGAGCGGATGATCAAGCATATAATATTAACTCTATTTAAAGAGGTTTAAAATACAAGAAAGAAGAAATATATAAGAACAAAAGTTTGGACCAGCCGATACCAAGTTTATGTTAAACAACTTTGAAATAATAAAAACAATCTCACCGCCGCATTTAAACTTGCTACCAAAATTACATATCTTTATTAGTGGAAAAATTGCTTTGATCCCAATAAAGGAAAATTAAATACACTAAACAACAAATAATTAAAAGAGTTATGAGACTTCAGCTTTAGAGACGGACCTCATAAATTTGCAACTTATCATCAAAAATGTGCAAAGAGCATCATGAGAATTCAACACATAACTTCTTCAAAATATACGGACAATTACATTTGTATGCGAGATGTGAGAAAGCCTACGAAGGAAATCCTCAAATAAGAGAATGTGCAAAGTGTCACCATTTTATCCCACAGGTTTGAAGATCCTAGTTCGACAAATTTTCAACACCAGAGAATGTAGCCAAAGGGCAAGCACTACTTTCTATGTTTTTATTGTCCTTTTCTCTTTAATTGGTGGGAACATTTGATCCTCAATTATGGAACTACTAATTGTTGACATGAATCTTGGGATTTTAACATAAATAAATTGGATGAATAATGAAATTTAAAGTTCTTCCATGTTTGCAAAATAAAAGTAACTTATTCATTCAAATGTAAACTGAAAGCGCTCAGTTTTCCAAATATAACACTGTTAAATAGTGGCGAAAAAAAAAGAAAGTGTAGGAAAAAGTTACAATTGGAGTACCTGTGAAAAAATCGTGGATTACAAGAGAAAGAGCAGTACATGTATCTTCATCGTCCTTCACGTTTCAGTTTAACTGCCAAATCAAATTTTAGAGCATATGCGCAAATATGAAGCAAATAATTTTCAATTATTAGGTAATGAAAAATATTTATATGTGGGTCTTTTGAAACAC